AGGGAGGGAGGGAGGGAGGGAGGGAGGGAGGCGGAGGGGAGGGAGGGAGGCGGAGGGGAGGGAGGGAGGCGGAGGGGAGGGAGGGAGGCGGAAGGGAGGAGAGAGGAAGTGCAGGGAGAACCGAGGAAGAATGCGAAGGAGTAAGAAGTGGGATGGGTCAGGAGAGGTGGACGAAGGGAGAGGGAGGAGAGGCTGGGGAGGGACGGAGAGCCAAGTTATAGAGGACGTGACGGCAGAGCGCAGAAAGAGTCGACGCTGCACTTGGTCCTGCGCCTTCGAGGAGGATGCTGGATGTTTACAATCACTATCCTGATCATCATCTTTATCGCTATCCTCATGAGGTACTCGTATGACTCTCTCGCACTCCTCTCACTCCTTCTGCAGCTTCTGCACGTGCGGATGCTCTCTGGTTATCATACCGTTCCTCGTTCCCTTCCTCTTCATCCTTCCATGTGAGTATACTGCTTGCGATCTTCCCGCTCCTGCTCCTGCTGCTCCTGCTCCTGTTGCTCCTGCTCCTCTTGCTCCCCCTTCTCTTCCTTCTCCTGTCGCTCACTCTCGAGTCAGGCCTCTGCCTGTAGCGCATCTGGAAGAGGAGGAGGAGCGCTTTTCGTCTCCTCAAGCTCATTTTGCCTCCTCTCCTGGAGCCCCTCTACCTTTGAATGTAAAGAATCGACTAGCCAGCCCCTCCTATCGGCTCCCACTCGGCGAGAGGGAGGAGGAACGTCTGCCAGCCCTGCTGTCCTGGGTCGATGCTTGCGATAATGGTGTCGTGCTGTAGCTGGAGGAGGACGTCAGGAGCGTGCGGGAAGGGGGAAGAGGAGAGGAAGAGGAGGAGGAGGAGGAGAGGTGGAGAGAGGGAGAAACCGATCACGAGAAGTATGGGAGAGGGGTAGGAAGAGAGAGGTGGGGATGGATGGATGGATGGATGGAGGGGAGAGGGAAGGGGGAGGGAGGGGAAAAACTCGGGGAGGGAAGAAGAGGAGGAAGAGGAGGAGGAGAAGGAAGAGGGG